ATTTAAGACCCCCTCCCTCCTTCAATAAATGGCATTCGGCATTCAAAAAAAATTTTTTTTTCAGAAAAAAAAGAGAGACAGGCATGGTACTCCACATACTCTGGAGGCAGAGGTAGGCAGAGCTCTGAGTTTAAGGTCTACAGGGTGAGTTTCAGGACAGCCAGGGCTACACAGAGAAACCCTGTCTCAAATAAAACAAAACAAAACAAAAAATGTAATTGAAAAAATTTAATTGAAAAAAAAAATGGGGGGGGGGGGACTAAAGCCATCACGTAAAGAGGCAGGAGAGTCATGACATTAAGGGCCGTCTTTATGGCTACCTACTGAGGAGTCACAGGCCAGCCTGGGCTACAGAAGCAAAGGCTGGGCACAGGGAGAGCCGGAGATGGCTGTGAGTAAAGGGCTTGTTTCAGGAGCGTGAGGACCTGAGTTTGGGTCCCTGACACCCATGAACAAAGGCAGGTGTGTCTCTAATTCCAGCACTGGGGAGGCTGAGGCAGGAGGATCCCAGCCTAGCCAGATTGCTGACTCCAGTGAGATAGCCCAGTCTTCAACGTTAAGGTGGAAGGGGGTTACGGAAGATACCATACGCGAGCTTCAGACCTCCACATATATGCACATGCCCACGTGAACCACATACAGCAGGATGTCAGGGTGGGGCTTTTGTTGACTATACATGTCGGGGCTAGAAATGGAAACTATATGAGGATGATATGTGGAACGAGAGTAGAAAAGGCCGTCTGTAGATTTATCTTCATAAGCCTTCATTTGTGAGTACTCCAATAAGTTACACATTTCCTGCTTTCTTCTTAGCTTTTAAGGTTTGGTTTTCCATAATGTGTGTAAAATACAAATATATTTAACAGAAACATGAGAGAGAGAGAGAGAGAGAGAGAGAGAGAGAGAGAGAGAGAGAGAGAAAGGTCCTACTTGATTTGACACAGATTTAATGCTATTGTGTGAAAGATCAGACTTGACTTCACCTATTTATAAAATGTAAGAGAGAGGTTGAATTTGTGATACACGGGGCTGGAGAGATGGCTCAGAGGTTAAGAGCGCTGGCTGTTCTTCCAGAGGTCCTGAGTTCAATTCCCAGCAACCACATGGTGACTCACAACCATCAATAATGAGATCTGGTGCCCTTTTCTGGCCCGCAGGCAGAATATTGTATACATAATAAATAAATAAATATTTTTAAAAAAGAATTTGTAATACACATAGCAGCGGCATACAATTACGGACCACCTGAGCGTGTGAGCCCAGTGCTGGGGCCCTCTTCCCTTCAGTCACAAGCAACAGAAGTGAACTGAGTGTTGGCCTAAGGGCGTCAGGACAGCAGACCAAACAGTGAATTAGATGTGCATAAGAGGTTTGAGGATGTCTCCCCACCAGTCCTCAAAGAATGAATGTGGACATTTACTTCAACTCCCCAACTAAAACCCCCCTGACATAACAGTACAGAGATGGACTCTGAAGGTCAGACTCTGCATAAGTAGGCCCTGCAAGGAGAAACAGCAGCGCAATTTTGAAAGCAAGAGCCTGATGTGTTAGCTTTCCAGCAAACATGAGAAAACCCAAGTGAATGAGCAGCCTTGGTGCCTCATCCTGTAATCCTACCACGGGGAGGCTGAGGCAGGAGGATCAACCTGAGTTCAAGATCGGTCTGGACTACATAGCAAGACCAGGGCAGTGGCATGACTCAGGCTTAAGAAAGCGTGTTGCGCCGGGTGGTGGTGGCGCACGCCTTTAATCCCAGCACTCAGGAGGCAGAGGCAGGCGGATCTCTGTGAGTTCGAGGCCAGCCTGGTCTCCAAAGCGAGTTCCAGGAAAGGCGCAAAGCTACACAGAGAAACCCTGTCTCGAAAAACCAAAAAAAAAAAAAAAAAAAGAAAGCGTGTTGCTTTTCTAGACCACAGTCTGACTCCTAGCAGCCACGTTGAGGAGACCATAACTGCCTGTAACTACAGCTCCAGGGAATCTTACCATCCTCTTCTAGCCTCCAAGGGCACTGAAGCACATACACTCACAAACACACTCTCACACACATTCATACACAGACACTCACTCATACACACACATTCACTCAGACACACATTCACTCATACACATACTTATATATACATTATACATACTCACTCATAGACACACAATTGTTTATGAACTTGAGAGAGAGAGAGAAAGAGAGAGAGAGAGAGAGAGAGAGAGAGAGAGAGAGAGAGACTAAGTCAGCAAGATGTAAGGGCATCTTGTTCCTCTGCTGAGTTCTTAAAAGCCCTGAACAGCAGGATGGGGAGAGAGTTCAGTCAGCAAACTGAGGACTCAAGTGACCCCCAGAATGCACGTAAAAAGTCAGGCTTGGTGGCACACACTTGTAACCCCAGTGCTGGGGAGGTAGAGGCAGGACAGTTCCCAGGGTTTGGTGGCCTGCCTGCCTATCTTTATTGGTGAGTTCCAGGTCCTCATGAAAGACTGTCTCAAGAGCGAGACAGACAGCTCCCGAGAAACAACACCCGAGGATGACCCCTGGCCTCCACACACATGTGCACAGACAGGCACACGCATGGACACACGAATCTTGGAGTGAACGGTTCAGGGGAAGGACTTACTGCAAGTGTGATTCACAACGCACTGGCAGACCATTGGAGATTTACTCTCCGTGGCAACTCAGCAAAGCTCTGGACTTCAGTCACCCCTGCAGGCAGGGAGGCCGGCCTGAAAAGAAGGGAATCCATGCGTTCTAGGTGGGAGGAGCCAGGCCCCTGGGACTCTTGTCAGCTTGGCATCCTGGATGGTAGCAGGTAATTTGAGTATGGCTTTCAGGCTACCTTTACCTTTTTGTGATTTCTGGTAGGAGTTCAAATTGCAATTCCTTTCCGCGTGGCGGTTTGGTAACGTATCAGAATCCTTAACCGTGGTGGTTGGGGCGCGAGGACCCCGGGGACGCCGGCTTCGTGGCTGTCCCGGGCTTCTCTGACCTCAGCTCCAGCTCGGGGGAGTATGGGAGGATCCAGAGTTGGCCAGAGCTGCAGGAGGTGTTGGATCAGGGAAAATGTTTGTACAAAGAAAAAGTCTACTGAAAATAGAAAAAAGATATTAGACGCTAGGGCCGAAGTGCAAGCGGTGTCGCCAAGTACGAAGTTTAGCGGAACAGCAAAGACGGTTTTGGGAGGTTCATGACTAAACTGTGAAGAAGAGCTAAAGAGTTGGAGGGCACGGTTTCTGACTGGACACGTGACCCTTGGTGGCTAGTTCCCGACGGCTGTCCTGTGGATCCAGCACCTCTTGCAAACCAGCCTCAGAGGCCGAAGATATCCATCAGCCTCCCAGAGGACGGGAGACTTCAGGGATAGGGCTTGAAGGGAGCAAGCTCCCAGCTTCCAGCGGCAGAGTCAGTTGGTGTGAGGAAAACGATCAGGGGCAAAGAGGAGCATGTCACGAAACAACTGTAGTCTATTAACCAAAAAGACCTAATAGTCATTAATATGATCAAGCTGCACAGCAGGGAGTCAAAATATCTGAGAGGACAGAAAATCCATTTAACCCAAACACGGAAAGGATGAGTCCATTAGAGCTGGATAGATATTCTAGTGCCGCCTAACCGTGATTGACTGATCAAGCAGAAAATGCACAAGGCCAACTGCAACCCAGCCGGCATCATTACTCATCGGGATCTGCTGACATTTGCAGAGCACCCGTCAAGTGCGGGGGAACATTATTCTCAAACTCAGAACCTTCACTGAAATCACACTTTAGACCGAAAAACACCCTTTAGCAAGTTGAAAAACAAAAGTCCTACAAAATAGGCCTCAGCGCCTGGCGTGGTGGTGTATACCTCTCATCCCAGCACTCAGGAGGCAGAGATGGGGGAACTGTGAGCTGGAAGCCAGCTTGGGCTGTTAGCAAGGCCCCGTCTGAAAGCAGACAGACATATCCTCTCAGACTATAGTGAAATTAAACCAGGAACAACAGAAACAGAGCCGGGAAACCTCCAAATAGTTGACAATCACATACCACACTTCTAAGCTGGTGGTACACGCCTTTGGACGCAGCTACTTACAAGCTTAGAGACAGGAAGATTTGTTTGAGTCCACAAAGTCCAAGATTATCTTGGGCTTCCCACTGCAAAAACACAAAGAAACAACAACAAAAATCCCAATATATTTCTAAATAGCACATTGGGTCAAAGAAGTCTCAAGAGAAAACTGAATGATGTGGCATTGAATTCTAATCTTTTTTTTTTTTTTAAAAGAGCCCTGGCAAAGTTTTATTAAAGGAAAACTTCTTGGTTTACTTTTTACTTTTTACTTCTTGGTTTTTAATAAAACTTTGTTCTGGCATGCTTCTGATAACATCAGCATCACCTGGGTCAATGCTAGCCAGTGTGCATACTCTTAGTATTTCCCACATGCTGTGCCCAACTCAATATTATTGCCACTGTAGTGATGGACATCAGTTCTGGCCAACACGGCATAGTGTTCTATTCCAGATTTCCTCAAAGCTGGGCAATTGTTGGTGAGGATAGTCAACTTCGCTTTGCCCTGTCTGTTCATCTTCAAAGTCTGTTTCTATCCCAGCGCATACTTTCCATTTTTCATAACAAGTTGGAGTCTAGAGTTGATCGTCTCCTGGGACATTTTCCGTTGTCTTTGCGGCCACCATCTTCCTGCCTTAGGTGCGGGACAGCCCCTAACCAAGACCAGCCACCAAGATGGCCAGGGATTGAGAAAGGGTCTAATTGGTCTTGATAATAAAAACCCAGAGTCAGATATCAGGGTGAAAGCTGAGAGATCAGCAAAGCAGAGCAGCCAGCCACTAGAGTTCTTGTCTCTACTGAGAATCCTCAGCCTGAAAGAGCTCGAGCTCCTGTCTCCACCCTGCCTTATCATTTCCTCTCTCTGCCCCGCCATATCACTTCCTGTTTCCTTCTCCCAAGTGCTGGGATTAAAGGTGTGTGTCACCACTGCCTGGCCTCTTGTGGCTAGTTCTGTACTCTGATCTTAAAGCAAGATTTATTTGTTAAAGCACAAACAATATTACCACAGAATATTTTAAACTGAATGAAAATACAGTTTATTGCAATTTGTTTGGTACACCAAAAACAGAGGTAGGGAGGGATCTGCACCACTGAACAGCACATGCAAGAAAACAGAAGCCTGGCCATACAGGGGCCTGCAGTCCCAGCATGCACTTGGGGAGGGGGGAGGAGTATAGGAGAGAAGGCTAAGGATGTAAGCCTTGCTTAGTATGCCCAGAGCCACCAGGGGTTTGATCCCCACTGTGACACTAACTGGACACGGTGGCACAGGCCTGTTATCTCAGCACTCATCTACATAGCATGTTTGAGACCTGCCAGGGCTCCATAAAATCCTGTCTACAAACGAACAAAAACAACCAAACCAACCGATCGGAATGTAAGCCCAAAGCCAGCAAAAGAAAAGAAAAGCGAAAATCGATGACACAGGAAACAGGAAAGTGATAGAGAAATTCGGGCTCTCTGAAAAGATAAAGCAGCCCTCTCTCCTGGTTAACCAAGAAAAAAAAGATGCAAGTCATTAATACCAGAAAGGGAAGAGAGTTCATCAGTCCTGACCACAGCAGAATGACACAGGATGTTTTCCTTAGTGTGGTGTGTGTGTGTATGTGGTACATGTGTACCATGGCCTGCATATGTAGGAACCAATTCTTTCCTTCTACCATATGGGTCCTGGGGATCAAACTCAGGTCACCAGGTGCTGAGATATAGATGAGGAATGTCACAAACAGTTCTACACTTTCAGCCTCAGGTAGAGGAAATGGGCCTTGGCTGGCTCTGCCTCCCGAGTGCTGGGATTAAAGGCATGCGCCACCACCGCCCGGCTCATAATCCTAACTTCTAATTTGTGTGTTGGTGTATTTATGTGGAAGTGTGAGTAGAAACTAGAAAGGGGCCCATGAAAGGAGAACAAAGGCTTTAAGGGGGAGTGAGAAGGGTAATAGGATACATGTGGTATGCAAGTAAAGGTGGGAATGCAAGGGATGGAAGAAGAAAAGGAGGAAAACGCCAGTACTGGGGGCGGGCTGCAGCTCAGTGGAAGGATGTTTACCACACCAGTCCTTGTGTTCAACGTCAAGCACCAAATGAATAATGGAGGGAGCACGCCAATGCAGTGAAGGAGAGCCGAGAACTTTGGAGCTCTCCTTCACAATGGAGGGGATGGAGAACTTTGGAGCTGTCCTTCACAATGAAGGGGGATGGAGAACTTTGGAGCTGTCCTTCACAATGGAGGGGGTGGAGAACTTCGGAGAATTTCTCCTTATGGCTCAGTTTTGCTGTAAACCTAAAGCTGTCCTCTCCAAATGCAATTTATTAGTTTTTTTAAAAAATGGGGTTAGGCCTGGAGAGACGGCTCAACTGTTAGGAGCACTTACTGCTCTTGCAGAGGAACTGGGTTTGGTTCCCAGCATCTACATGGTGTCCACAACCATCTATAATTCCAATCCCAGGGATCTGCCACCACAACATGCATGTGGTACACATACATGCATGCAGGCAAACGCTTGCACACTTAAATCTTTAAAAATTTTAAATAGGGTTGACTCATTAACATAAAATGAAAAACCTCTAGAAAGTCTCCAGGCAAAAAAGCCACATGGTGAGTCAGGCATGGTGTCGTAGCGGGTGAGAGGCAGATGCAGGAGGATCAATAGTTAAGGCTAGCCTCAGCCGCAGGGTGGGTTCCAGGTAGCTTCAGCTACATGAGACCGTGGTGGTGTGGGGAGCCTCACGGTCAGGTGGAGGTTTTAGATAAAGTTGTCTAGTGGCTGCATGGAGCGGGCAGAGTCAGGGAAGTGTACAAAGCCTGGCATCAGAGAGCAATGCAGGGCCCAAGCAGAAGATGCTGGCAGCCTGAAGGAGAGGAGGAGGAGGAGGGGGAGGAGATGGAGGAGGAAAGGTTGAAAGACCCTCAAGTAGGTAAGTAGGTAAGATGGGAAATTGTGGCCTGATGACCCTCAGTTTTCCAGCGTTAGTGTCTGGGAGGACACTGTGTGCTGGGGTGATGACCCTCAGTTTTCCAGCGTTAGTGTCTGGGAGGACACTGTGTGCTGGGGTGATGAACCTCAGTTTTCCAGCGTTAGTGTCTGGGAGGACACTGTGTGCTGGGGTGATGAACCTCAGTTTTCCAGTGTTAGTGTCTGGGAGGACACTGTGTGCTGGGGTGATGAACCTCAGTTTTCCAGCGTTAGTGTCTGGGAGGACACTGTGTGCTGGGGTGACATGTATCACTGCACTGCACCCAGTGTAGGCTGCTCTTGAGGTAGATGCCTCCCCGTCCTCAGCTGTCTGTGCATTTGGTCACAGCAACGGTCAGTGGAACTTGACCTGGATCCTACCTGGAAGAAATCACAGGCTGTGATAAGGTAAAATAAGGGAATGGTTTAGGGTTACTTATTTTCTTTGAATAGTTCTGCTTAAAAGAAATTCACTCTATAATCAATGGGCTTCATCAAACTATGTTTCTGCCCTGGGACCCACATGGTAGGAGAACCAATTCCCACAAGCTGCCCTCCGAACTCCACTCACGAATGTTTCCTCCCCAAATATAGTTTAAAAAATAGCCAAAAAAATTAATAATAAATAGCCAGATGTGGAGGTGCACACCTTTAATCCCAGCACCTGGGAGGCAAAGGCAGGCAGATTTCTGTGTGTTCAAGGCCAGCCTGGTCTACATACAGAGTCCCAGGCCAGCCAGGGCTTCACAATGAGACCCTATCTCAAAATAATTAAGATATTCTTGCAACACAAATTTCTATTTTAAAGCTCATCCACCAGTTGTGGCATTAATATTTGACAATACACTTAATTGGAAATCAAGGTCCAAAGGTCAGAAACTTAATCCCCCCCCCCCAAGAGAACAAAAGGAGCCACCTGAGGTTGGCAGCAGCAGTTTAGGTGAACACACAGGAGAGAGAGGAAGATTGAGCCGAGGTGTCAAAGTGAAGCAGAGTTACCGGACATTTGCTGCGCTGGTAGAGGTCGACACGGTGTAGTGGGCGTCCCGAATACCTGCGCATGTGCCCTGAGACACCAGAGTCCTCAGCCGCAGACACAGGAGCAGAGAGCCAGGTGAGAAGGCCATCTGTCATCCCGGGTTTAGAAGTTCCATGTGGTTCACGGTTGGGCAATACTGGGTGGCTGTGTGTGTGTGTGTGTGTATAATTATGTGTGTGGTGTATATGATATGTGTGTGTCCCACCCTCTGGGCCACACCTCCCCAGTCCTGGTCACCTCCTGTTGGCTTACCATAAACTTAAAGGTCTGGTTTCCATCAGGGGTTGAAATGTGTAGTTTCTTTCCATCTGTTAGCTTGCGGGGTGGGGGAGATGTACCATGCAGGACTGGCTGCTTCTGGAAGGCACGCCTCTCTTAGGGAGGTCGCCACCTGTGCTGACGCATGCGCAGCCCAGACCCTCGATGGCTCTGCCTCCTGTTTCCTGGGACCTCCTGTTTCCTGTGGTCCCAGGTAGGCGCTTCGCAACAACACATTCCTCACTCTGCATGCACACCGCCCTGCACGGAGGCAACCCAACGTGCTAACATCGGTGATGGATTGCGTAGGGATAATTTTATCCGCAAACAGAAGGCTGCCCAGCAGTGGCTCTCATACCTCAAAACCAAGTTCACACCTCCATAATCCCCACAGACATAGTCACTGCGCAGAGTGGTCACCAAGAAGGGACCCCTGAGCCTCTCTGCCTGCCTTAGTGGTCTTTGTTCTTACACTTGTCATCTCAGGGACAGCGACAGCTGCTGCACCTCGGGAGGATGGGGCAGAGGACAGGAGGGAGGGTACGGGAGCAAAAGTTCTTGAGCAGAGGCTTTTGGAGTGGCTTTCACCTACATCTCTTTGGCCATCTCCACTTACCTACAAGGGGACAAAGGGACAGAAAGATCAAGTTACCAAGGAGCCTGGAAAGGGAGTGGGGATGGGCACCTTAAAAAAGCATGGAGGTTAAAACGTGAGCACGTGCTTAGCCTACATGAGCAAGACCGTGGGTTCAGGAGAAAGAGGGCGGGGGGGATGGGGGTGTGGGAGTGGGGGTGTGGGGGCGCGAGGAAGCCACACATAGGGTCCCATTTGTTTTTTATTCATTTTACATACAGGGTCCCATTTTAAAGTGGGTTTTTCTGGTCTGTTTTTTGACAGCCTAACAAGGAAAATGATACCTGTAGACAAAATTTCACTTAAGTAGGTGAATTAAGATACAGCTGTAGCCACGAGTTATTTTTAAGCCAGTTCCCGGCATGATGATAAGAATTTCTAACGGAGGGCAAGCAACAGGGTCAAGAATAATTTCACCTACTGTTTCCTTTTTTGGATAGGGTCTTGCTGTGTAGTCCCGGCTAGACTAAAACTGGCAATCCTTCTGCCTCAACCTCCTAAATTCTGGGATTACAGGTGCGCATGCTTGGCTCTTGCTACATTTTTGTCCCGATTGGTCTATTACGTAAGTTGGGAGTTGGCATTGAAATCGGGGTTTGTGTGGAGCCCTTTTCACTGGAGTGTTTTGTCTCCATCTGGTGGACAATGCTGGCTTTGCAAGTCAGCAGCGCTCTGCCCCAGAGCAGGTCAATCATTAAGGGTGACAACAGGATCCAAGATCAACATCTAAGAAACAACAACAAAAAAAGGCAGGCACGGTGGCACACGCCTTCGATCCCAGCACTTGGGAGGAGGCAGAGACAGGCAACTCTCTGCGAGTTCGAGGCCAGCCTAGTGTAAACAGTGAGACCTTGTCTCAAAAAAAAAAAAAAAAAAAAAAGAGAAAAAAGAAAAGCGGCAAGATGGCCCAGGCAGTAATGTGCTTGCTGTCAAGCCCAAGGCCCTGGGTTCGTTCCCCGGGACCCACATTGGTGGTGTAGCCCCTCATACACACAATTTTTAAAAAAAAAATTTTTTTTAAGCTATGGGGGCTTGCTGGCCAGACAGCATGACCTAACCTGGGAATCCCAGGACAATAAAGGATGTTTTTAAAAACGAGGTGGAAAGCACCTGAGGAATGACACCGGAAGACCTCTGACAGACACACGCGCACTCACATGAACACACCCCATTTCTTTAAAATATTAAAAATAGTTAACATTTCATAATTGATCACAGAGTCCCAAGAGATGAACAACAAAGACAGATGAATTCCCTATCGGTAAAGACGCCAGAGTCGCCCCCCAGCCTCCGTGAAGCAGTGTGTCCATGTCCACATGCGCCATAAAACTACAGGGTAGGCTCCTGGAGGTTTTGTTTGCTTTCTTTTTTTTTTTTTTTTTGGTTTTTCGAGACAGGGTTTCTCTGTGTAGCTTTGCGCCTTTCCTGGAACTCACTTGGTAGCCCAGGCTGGCCTCGAACTCCCAGAGATCCACCTGGCTCTGCCTCCCAAGTGCTGGGATTAAAGGCGTGCACCACCACCGCCCGACTTTGCTTGCTTTCTTAAACATAGCCATCACTACCCTTGGCTCTCATGACTCATATCCCAGTTGCCGGGATGACAAGCATGCGCAGCCAGACCCAGTTGGGGACCAGCCCCAGGATTTGTGTTTCTCACCTCAAATGTGTACCAACATCTCAAGACACATCCATGTGAACTTTAGAAAAACTGATGATGCTCGTCTTTGTGTATGCCAACCATTAAAGAACCCTAAATAAACGAACCCTCAACTCCTCTTTTAGAATATACTTCTTAGCCACATGGTAGCACAGGCCTGTAACCTGAGCACTCGGAAGGTGGAGGTAGGAGGTCAAGGGATTGAGGCCAGCCTGAATTCCAGGTCAGCCCTCATAGAAAAGTATCTCAGTTTGGCCACACCTCCACCCTCTTAGAAACAGGATCTCAATGTATAGTCCTGGCTAGTTTGGAATTCACTACATAGACCAGGCTGGCCTCAAACTCAGAGATCTGCCTGCCTCTACCTCTGCTGGGCACAAGCCACCACACCAATTCCATTTGCCTTTATTATTTTTGAGACAGGGTCTTGCTGTGAGGTCTAAGAATAAAATCTCCACGCTCCCCTTGTTTGAAGGCTTCTCGTAACGTCCATGCTCTCCCTGCCTGAGTCATGACCTGGTTGTGAACTTGCTGCATCTGGTTACAATTTTAGTATGTAAGTCTCCACGTTCTTAGAACTTTACCCTTAGAGTCTTCAGACTTTGAGTTACCGAAACATGGAAATCCCGTTGTCCATATACACACAGTTGGCTTGTTAATGTTGCCCTGTCTTTACCATCTTTTCTTCTTATCCCATTATCTTGTTAATAGAACTCCCAAGATTCCTAATGGTTTTCTGTGTTTGTGATCGTGTTGCCCATGAACAGTTTGACATTTTTCCCAGTGCTGATGCCTTGCTGCACTGCCCAGGCCCTCAGACACAAGTCTGACTGGAGGTGTGCAGTCAGAAAATTTCCTGTGTCTCGGCCTGCTGGCCGTCGGGACAAATCTCTCCCACTCGCGTCCCCCAAGTAAACACACAGAGGCTTATATTAATTATAACTGCACGGCTATGACTCAAGCCTTTAGCTTGAGTCTTACAGCTCTTATATCTTAAATTAGCCCACAACTATTAATCTATGTATCGCCACGTGTTCCGTGGCTTTACCTGCATCCCATTACATGTTGCTCCTTCAGCGGCTTGCTGGCATTTTTCCCTGCCTTCTTCCTATCTCTCTCTTTGAACTTCCTGCCTGCCTCTAAGCTGCCTTGCCATAGGCCAAATGGCTTTATTATCAATCAATCAGAGCAACCTATTTTCACAGCATCCAGAAAGACATTCCCTTATCAGAGGTGTTCTCATAGGGCCTTAGGAGAAGTGTCTGAACTCCTTCATTAAATGCTGGCTGTATCTATTTCATATGGTCCCCTAGTGGGGCGAAGGTAGGTTCTTCGCTTGCTGACACTTCCGTCATAAGCTCCCTAAAATGCTCTTATTAATCTACTGGAATGATCACAAGCTGTTTGACTCTCCATTTTGTTACTATGATAAGTAATACTAACTGAACAGAGAAGGGTTCCCTTCTGTATCTCCTAGAATATTCATGTAAACTGGTACAGTTTCCTGCTCTAGTTGAGTGTGTCCACTGGGAAGAAGAGTTTTAACTATGAACTCACCCTTTGATACAGATAATCAAACCTTCAATTTCTTTTCATCTGTCTGGGTGACTTGGTTTTGTGTCAACCACACTGCTCAACAAGAGTTTGGTCTCCAACACCGAGCTCCTATCTTAGAGAAGTTATCGATTTGTAAGAGTTTGAAACTGAGCTGCTTTAGCAAACAAGATACCTACACATGCACATATATGTGTATGGACACAAACATACACGAATCCACTGCTTTCTGCAACAGAATAGCATAAGCAAGAGATCCTGTCAGATCTGAACACTGAGGGGAGGCTGAGGGTGGGCACCATCCCATACAAACTATAAAATCATCCAGCACACAGAGGTTGGGTTCAGGAGATTTATTGTAAACAGGACAACCCTAGGACCCCACCATCCTGGCAGTGTCACATGCTCTTACACATCAACTGATTAAAAAGACTCTTCGAAGTCTCTGGTAACATGACTTTTTCACAAATCTCACTTGCTAAGCGTGAGTACATGGCAGTCTCTGGGCAGTCTGTTCTAGTTCATGGACCACAACCTGGACCCGCTGCAATGAACCTGTCAGGATGCCAAGTGACACAAAGGAGCTCTGAAGCACACTCAACACCACGTGCAGGTTCATGGAGGATGACATGGAATTGTTTTCCAATTGCTTCAAGGGCCTTTTCTCATATCAAAGACATGCTTTTAACTGTACCCATCTTTTAAAAAAGAGCTAAGTTACCCGACGGCATGTAATCATTTACAGAAAAGGTAGCAGACTGTTATTTGCTTTTACAATGATGGATTCAAACACTCAGGACTAGTGTTGGATTTGTCTTGTATATATTTTGCAGTTCGATGAAAAGCTGCATAGTCAAGTTGGGCAGGGTGGCGCACGCCTAATCCCGGCCCTTGAGAGGTGGAGGCAGGAGGATCAGGAGTTCAAAGTCAGCCTTGGCTACATGGCCAATTGCTCAGACGAGAAGGAAATGGTGACTCAGACCTTCTGATGGGACGGACAAGGACAGGATTTTCACCGGGAGGCTCTTAAAACACATGGATAAAAGACGTCGCAGCACCACGGGGGAGCAGCCTCCACGGCCGCCCAAGTTCACAAGTTATTTGGAAATGGCAAATATGAAAACTTAAGCTGTGAAAAGCCAAGACTCTAGAGCAGAAAATCCTGGCAAATCAAGTCATATGGGGCAGTAAAACGTCACTTGGAAACGCCATTCTGTACCTTGTTTGAGTCAGCGGACAAACAGGAGCACTTTCTATCACTATTGCCGGTGTGTGGAAACAGCCACGCTTGCTCTTGAAGCAAGTCTTAATAATAGCAAATATTTTAAAACAGCTGTTAAATCTACAGTAACATTTTCACCTAAAATAGTATCTTGTGAAAAAAATATTTTTTAAAAGTCCACTCCAGTCATCATCTGTATGTTTATATTCATATATTCAAAAAAATAACACTTAAGGCAAGATGAGACCGGAAGCAGCGAGGGCATTTAGAGTCTGAAGGAGACTGGCTATTTAAGAACGTAACCGTTTTGTATCTCCAAAGAGGTGGCTTTGTATTTGCTGCCTTTTGAGACCCTAAGGGGCAAATGATTTAGTTCACACACTGATCGCAATTTCACCCTAGCAATTACAGGGAGTTACAAGAGCTGATGTTAGCCCAGCACGTCTCACACGCTATACAGCAGCAAGCATCTGCTGACGGAACACCGCAAACCAACTACAGAAAAACAGAAATGTCAACAGAATTCAATGAGAGAGAACCCACAGGAATCCTGAGAAATTCCCAACATGATGTAAGGTTAATCTGGGTTTCTAGCACTGTAAATTGGGTGTTCTAGGGCTTTCCAGCATTTGACTAAGAAGATTAAAAAACATACCCAAATTTTATAAAAACATTAAAACCATGCCTTAGATAATCAGCACGTTCACTAATAAAAGAAAATGACATTGCTTTGTGCGTTATCTGCCAAATGTAATGTTTTCGGTTGATTTATAGGAAACTATCAAATAGAAAGCAGACTTGAGGATCGGTTCTTTAAAAGGTAACCCTTTCTAAATGTTTTTGAAACCTTTTAGAAAAAAAACTTATTATCTTCGGACAAATGACTATTTCACAGAATAAGGAAGAAGGATTCTATTGGGGTAGCTTTCTTCAGATTAAACAGTTAATAGAAGGGAATTTCTCTGAGGACTAAAAAGGAACAAAATTAGGATATTTAAGAGGCATGTGTTTTAAAAATATTCTACATCTATAAGATTTTATAATTTTATTACTTTGGGTTTTTAACATTTCTACATAATAACGTCTGATAACTCTTTTCTGTTTGTCTGTCTAATAGCAAGCCAGAAACTACTCAAGTGGTTAAGATTGCTTTCCCAGGCCTTGGGAGACACAGGAACGAATCCATTCTCTTCAGAGTTTTGCAGCCATGAAGTTAATATGCGGTTTCACAAGAGGAAACAGTGGC